CTTCTAGATTCTGTAAATTTAGATATATAATCAATAATCTGATTTTAATTAATGAATTAGTATTATTGTCTTATTTACTTCATAAATTAAAAAATATAAATAATATTTTATCAATTATTGTATATTAAATATAAAAATTTTATTATTGCAATCATGCGATTCTTTTTTTTTTTGATCTACAAAATTTACATAATTTTGCAAATCGCAATAAGTTAATTAATAATAGCATTAAATGAAGTTGTTCTAGATATTAAATATAAACTATAATTAGTAAAATATACTATAAACTTAATCTGGAGTCATACTCTAGATTAAAACTATAGGGTTTATTTGGAGTAATAACTCTGATATAGTTTGGTTTTACTAGTTACTCTGATAGAGTATACATCGCATCACTCTAGATCACTCTGTTAATAACCCTATCTACAACTTTCATTAAAAGCCAAAAGAAGGTTAACTTAATAAAAAAGATACTTTTATATATAAGCTAGCTCCATTTTTATACTACATATAGAAAGTTTATATTAAATTCTGACTTTGTGTTAAACGTTAACATTAATTATTTTACAAAATTAGTAATAAACCTTATTACTATAAAAATATTATTGGTTAAGAATTTTTATTCTTTTATATTTTCATCAGAGCTGTTTTACCTATTACTAAAATTAGAATAATGATATAGTAATTTGATTTAACATTAATAACCTAATATTACTATAAAAATATTATTGGCTGAAAATTTTTATTCTTTTACATTTTCTAATAATAAAAATTTTTGCAATATGTTGAGTTGTTTTACCTATTACTAAATAATAATGCATTTTAGTTATCTAATATCAAATGAATATATCAATATTTACAACCAGGAATGGTTAAATTTTGCAATAAAATATTTAAAGCTTAAAAATTCAGTTAAGTAATATAAAATTTTTTCAAAAATGTCTATAATGAAAGGAACTAACTTTGAAAAAGAAATTATCAGATACTTAAATAGTTTGGGAGTAAAGTGTAATCATACTAGGTGAGTGTCATTGAGTTATTTGTTAAGTTGTTATATGTCTAAAGATATGATACTATTATGTGTAAAATATCAGAGAATGGAAGCTCGTTGTGGCTGCAGTTTTAGCTATGAACATTCTTCCCTGTTTCTATAAAATCTCACACTGGTTTGGCTCTAGAGATTAATAGTGAATAGGACATATAACCAATGAATTGAAAGTTTATCTTAGCTACAATTACATTACTGCAATTGTGAATATTCTTTTTGGTTTTGATAATGATGATACAATTGCTCATATTTTGTTAAATTTTTAAGGAACCAGAGGATAGTGGGATAGATATAATAGTACATACAATAGATACAAAATTTTTTATTCAGTGCAAAGATTGGAAAACCAGAATATGTATTTTAATCAAATATAAGAACTTTTACTATGAGAAATATAAACTTACTTTATCAAATATTACAGGCTCTAAAGAAATTGAAAAGATATTTGAGGTTCTTGCTAATAGTAGGAAGAACACTATTTGTATCTTTGTTACCTCAAAAACAGACGGATATACTAATAGGGTAATATTAAAAGCTATTGAATCTGAATACAATATTATTCTTACAAATAAGTTTTATTTATTTTGTGATCTTTATGAATTTATTAATTACAAAGTATGTAATATTCGTATGAATGAGTTTGATAAAAAAATTGCATACAAATGTTCTGGTTCTAAAAGTTTTAATTTAAAATTAAAACTTGATTTTGATTTTATTAATTTTTTTTATATTTCCTTTTTTTTTACTTTTATTTTAAGTATTTGTTTTATTAAATTGCTTAACATACAGAATCTGTCACTAATTACTCATATTCATTAATTCATTTCATCTTATTAAACCAAAAGAAAATAGTTTAAAAAAATTTAATAATAAAGAGGTCATACTGACAATATTATATTAGCTATATTTCATGTAATTTCATGTAAGTTACAGTAAATTACTATTACTATTATATTTTATGTAATTTTTTCATATAATAGTATCAGCATTAT